AAAAAAAAAAACAGAACGTAAATAAAAATATAAAGTCGATAAAAAGCTGACAGATACTGTATGTTGAAGTTTAAAGCAAATTCACCCTGATACTAATTCCTGGGAAAATAAATACATATCTCTTGCAGTGTAATTTTTATTTCATATCTAATAAAATTAAATAAAAGAATAATTCACGTAAAACAAACATTCGATTTTTTTTATTTTTGCCATTCATGTGTGGCTGTTAACCGTTGGGTGGCAGCATGAAACTTTACTTCCAGTTCCGCGAAAAGTTGTTTTCTTTTCTTTAGCGGAACTGCGTAGATGTAATTTCCGTTCCGCGAAACTGAAAGTTGGCGCGCAGGACTTTTAAACAACCTCAATAGCGGACAGAGAAAATGAATGACCGCGCTGAACCAGCATCGTAGTTTCTTAAAAAAATGGAGCAATACGGTTAACTGTGACCGGGACATTAGTGATTCATGTCGGTGTGGTGGAGATGCAGAGTCGGTCGAAATTAAATGAAACGAGCGGTCTTCTGGGAACTGTGACGGTGGCTGCTGGGGTTAGGCTGCTCCTGACAACAGGATAACTACCAGCTCATTAAAGAAGCGCCCTGAAGCAGCTGCGTTCACACTCCTGGCTGCTGTTTAAACTGTCGCCATGAAAAGGATGAAAATGAAGAAAGCCGAGGTGGGTTGTTGTCATGGTAATAACGAGTCACTGTTAATTGTGACACCTGGTTTAGTGCTGCTGCATCACCAGTCGTCCACAGCTCCACAGTGTCGTGTTTATGTTGTTGCGCTTTTTGTTGTTGTTTGTTTGGTTCACCAATGTGAAGGGTGTCATTGTGGTTTCTTTCAGGTTCTCCGAGGCTTACCTGGGGGGCAGAAGAACATCTCTGCCTTCTTTTCCTCCCAGAACCTAAAGGTATCACTGTCCTGTTTTGTTTAGGTCTTACCACAGATGATATATTAATATCACCAATTGTTGTCCTTATTGGTCATTAAGAACGATGATACTTACTAGTAATCTGTTCATAATGGTCACGTAATTCCATTCATATACTGTTCAGTCAAATATTTTAAGAACTAATATAGGATGTGCAGTATAAGATGTGTATTAAATTACTCATTGAGTGTTTTGCTTGTAGGTCTTCCCAACTTCCACAAAAGTATCCACCACGGCTGCGGTCCAGCCCAAGACTGAGCCTCCAGTCAAAGATGGTGAAAGCTCTCTGTTCAGAGTCCATTCCCCATTAAAGAGGAGTGTCCTTGGGGACCTTGAAAACCGCCTTCCCTCCTCACCAGATCTTCTACTCTCTGTGCCTGAGACGCCAAACAGTCAAATCAGGCATACCTGCTCTCCCTCCTTTAAGAAGGACCTCAGCAGGAAGGAGGTGTGCCTGGCAAACCTCGGCCAGCTGTCTCCTGTCTGTCGCAGTCCCCGCTCCAAAGGGCCAAATTTACGGAGAGTAATGGCTAAGGATGGAGGAAAAGCCAAGAGGGAAGATAGAACGTCTGGCTCCATGAAAAGGCTGTTCAGCCCTCCTGAAGAGTCACATGATGCCAAGAGACCAAGAACTACCAGCCCATTGACCACAGGAGCAGTGATTATGAGTAGAAGCCTGAAAGAAAGAAATTCTATAACTGAGCCAGAGAAAACACCCTCCTTACCCACTGAACGTTTAGCAGGTTGTTATGACAGGTCTGTGGGTCACAGTCAAGGCACTGAATTGATCTTAAATGATGGTAGAAGCGCAATAATATCAGTGCAGTCTGTGTCTTCCCTCTCTTTGGGCCAAGAGAAGAAACCTCAGCAAGAACACAATGAGCAAGATTCTGGTTTTACTTTGATAACGGAGCAGACAGCAGCTGAGGCCAAAACCAGCAGAAAGCTGCACACTAGTGTGGAAAAGGACACTCCTAATGCACTTGTGCATGAAACCAGTGCTGAAGCTATCACACCTGCACTGCACAGAGGTTCAAAGGAGAGAGAGGTTCACCCAAACATAAAAGAGACCACAAGAACCTCGAAGAAGGTTGGAGATGGAGACCAAAAAACACAGGATCAGGAGCAAAATGGTGGTATGACTTTCTCTCTTATTTTCACATAGTTTCCTGTGCCAAATACAACCATTTTGCAGTGTCACAGCACTTCCCAGCATGCTTTAATGAATTTAATTTTCTCCTGTCCAGGCTGTACCAGAGTTACAAATGTTGGAACTTCTTGTAGTCTTAAAGAGCAGAAAAAAATAGTACAATACACCTTACCATGTCTTTGCTTGTAATTTGATTTGAATTTCTATTTACTTACCTTTTATGCTAAAACACTAAAAACCAAACAATTTATAACACAGGAACGGCTCCTGCGTGTCCCACAGAAGAGCGACTGGATGAGAGCTGGTTTGCAGATCAGATGGAGCATAATGAAGGTCTTAAGACCAAAAAATCCCGGTGAGAAAGACACCAAAATGCTGACTTGGAAAGGGGAAAAAAGATGAAGAAGCCCTGATGGACAAAGTATCTGATTTTGGGCTGAAGGATTTGATGTTAAT